AAATTAAACACCTCAGCACCCTCCTGCACCGACTCATCAAAACAATTCTTAAGCACTTAGCTTCCTCAAGACAATTCGCTGCTCACGCCATCTAAGCTTGCAAGACACGCCTATCCCATCCAACATGACCCCGTCTATTATCAACAACAGATTAAGGTTGATCAGTTCCTCAATTTGTCAATAGAAAGCTGAAAATCATGATGGGGTATAAACCATCTTTACTAACTATAAGAGCGTTCAACCACACACTGAGCTATAACTCTACACTTGCAGCATCCTGGAGAAGCACAGCTTCTCCCCCACTTGAATCATTCTCACTCATGCAGACAAAGGTTCCACAACAAAACATGTACCGACAGTGTTTTCACACACATGTCGCATACCAGGGAATACACAACATTAAATAACTTGGCCGGGCGGACCGACCTGCTCTGATACCAATTGTAACACCCCACTCTAAACTATCGCGGAAAATAAGATAAACAACAGAAACAATTCAGAGTGCATCAAATAAAATCTCATGACGACCGTCATAGATGTCACGACCGTCACGGTCATGACGAGCGTCATGGAGCTGTGACGACCGTCACACTCCCAAATTCTCAGACGCAGCAGAGGTGTCACATTCTACACTTAACCAAAACACATACACCTGCAAAAGCTCATTTACTAACATACGTAGCACAAAATTCGGATGAACAAACAACGGTAACTTGTTTAACATTTTAATCATAAACGCCATGTTATAATACACTTCCAATGATTCGTACTAATTAAATTCCATTAAAATTCAGCAAGTAATTATCTTGCATCAATTCGCTAAAACAACTATGCATCCAAGCAACATTTGGCATTATCAGAAACAGCCAATCTATTTGCCATAGTACTTAATAAAATTCAGCAACAAGGAATTCAATTAAAACAATAACATTAATCGTTCATCCCCCCAGAGTGCTACGTATCAGAGCGACCAACGACCTTAAACATAAAGCTACACTTTCTTCCGAGTTACCTGCAAATTACCACCAAAGGAGGTAACATACAACGTAAAGGGTGAGATATCAACAACATAACATAAGGCATGATAAAAGTCATGTCAGAATATTATCACAACATTATAATTCCAGCAGTTCGCATAAATATTAGTAATAATAACTAAAACCACTCTTTATTCATAACCACAACCATTATCATCATATCTCAGCAACTCATCAAAACAACTCAACAAAGCAACTCAACAATGCGACTCAACTGTGCATATGCATGTGGTACCATTTTGGGAGACAACACTCCACAATAATTCGGGAGACAACTCTCCACAATAATTCGGGAGACAACTCTCCACAATAATTCGGGAGACAACACTCTACAATAAATCGGGAGACAACTCTCCACAATCATTTTATTTTGTCATTAAAGACACAACCGTCGCCAATCCAGGCGAACTGATATGCTATGAGATGCAACTATTATGGACTATAACACAACAACAATAACTGTGCAACAACCGTGCAACAAGGCATCATGCCTACAACCAATTATCCATAACAGAAACATCACATTTTGCATATATTATGGACTCACCATTTCAATCTGTTCATATCAGAGAACTGCCAACAGTCTCGTTCCTACGAATAAGACTCTAACACATTTTCACAGAGAACAATTAAAAACAACCTCGTCTCTACAATCGAGAACTCAACAGCATTTTCATGTCAGAGAACAACTGACAACATCATTACTACAAATAAGAACTCAACACATTTTCATATACCTTCATACGGGTAATATAACTACAACTTATCCACGTAATCCAAGGAGAAAATTATAATAACATTTCCTCAACAAATGGGAAATTAGCGCGTGTCGGCGCCAATTCCCAACATTACTACATAAACTAACGACATACACATTAATGCAGGCGTAGAGAAACATTAACCTTTAATATTTCTCAACCTACGGGAACATTTACCCTTAATATTCCTTTAATATTTCTCAACCTACGGGAACATTACTACGGTAACGTTACTACGGGGACATCACTACGAGAACATTACTACGGGAACATTACCACGGGAACATTAATCTTTAATATTTCTTTCTTCAACTTACGGGAACATTACTACGGTAACGTTACTATGGGGACATCACTACGGGAACATTACTACGGTAATGTTACTACGGGAACATTAATCTTTAATATTTCTTTCTTCAACTTACGGGAACATTACTACGGGAACGTTACTACGGGGACATCACTACGTATTTTCCCCATTAGGAAAACCTTAGAGCATCGTATATAACACCTTCATTCTTACATAGAAAAAACTCGTCCCTAACATACATTTATCGATTAACAGAAATTATACCTATGAATCAATTCCCTACATGAAATTGATTATACCCACGGTTATAGAATTGAACCCCACCCTTACCTTAGAATAGAGGCCAATTCCAAGCTTCCGGTTCTGGTTCTGCTCTCCGGCGACTTTTCTGCAACTATCTTCCAATTCCCTGATGGATGATTCTCTGCTCTCCATTTCTCTCCACGTTCCTTTTTCCTTCTCTTCAACCTTTTTCCTCAAATTTGGTTTTCTGAGCAGTTATCGTGTTATTCCTCTTTCTCCCACAACTTCTCTAATAACTCCCTCCTCTTATTCCATCCACTAATATTCCAAATAATAATAATAATAATAATAATAATAATAATAATAATAATAATAATAATAATACTAATTATTAAATTATCATCATTATTAATTATATTATTATTAAACTCCAATCGTTATTAAAATAACTCTTACAGTCTAAGGGCATCCACCAACGCACTCAGACACACCTCCACATAAAGGCACACCAACAATTCATAAATAATTTAATTAAAATGAACGGGCGTTACAGTAATCCTCTTAGTCAAGTAACGTTTAATACCCTCCAACAAAGTGATTATGGGTTTACCCCTACACTTTAGAATTGCCCTATTAAATGCCTCACACATATTATTAACTGTTAGATCACACTTAGAGTATGTTTTGAAATATGACCTGGTCCATAAGTGAGCAGGGATGTCCAACAAATCCTTCCAAGCTATTTCTTTCAAAGATTTTAATCGTCGCATTGCCCTTTCCCATACTAGAATGGTTCTAGCTCTTGCAGTACTCCACATTGCCTCTTTCAATTCAAGTCCTAGATGTTTCTTTTTCCAATTTCTATAGAGATGTTTCACACATAGCCTTTGCTCCACATGTTTACTTACACTTTGAACAGCTGATACTAAACCCTACAATATTATGACATTACAATATTATTAAATGAATATCAAAATGAATATGTAAGGGATACCGTTTCTCATCTGAAATGAAGGCATAAGCCCTGTGTTTGATTTCATATAAGTCTTCAAGTAGAAGGTATATAAATCACTCCCAAGATGCTCTTGTCTCTGCTTCCACAATAGCATATGCAATAGGAAAAATCTGATTATTTTCATCCCTGCTTATGGCTGCCATCAATTGCCCACCAAAGTCACCCTTCAAAAAACAAACATCTAACCCTATAAGTGTTGGTGTAAGCCCTAGAGGCCAATACTTTTTGGTACTTGTATCGGATTATTCGTTTAATAATAAAAGGCATTTCTTTATTATGTTTGTCTTTCAGAATAATAAAGTCCCTAGAATAGTTAGTCTGTTTAATGAAATGTTAAGTGTGACTTAATCATGAGATCCCATTAAACATAAAGACATTATTCTTAAAATATCCGTAGTCAAGCTTTATTGCAAAGTGGGATAACATTAAAAGCATTGAGACTATTATGAAGATAGACTGATGATCACATCTCATGGATCATGGATAAAGAGTTATCAAGTCTTGACATAGGTATAAATATTAGGAGTAATATTTATACCGGATTGACCCGCTATGAGAATACTACATAGTATGTTATGCAAAGTGTCATAAGTTATTCTCATGGTGATAATGGTGTATTACCACCCTTCGACCTGAAACCACTATGGACCCTAGATGTAGAGTCGGGTGCTTTATTGCTGATCAAACATTATCCGTAACTGGATGATCATAAAGACAGTTGATGGGCACTCCACGAAGCATGCTGAGGGACATGAGTGTCCTAGATGGAATTTGCCAATCCTGCATAACAGGAGAAATGTCTAAGGGCCCAATATTGAACTGGACAAGGATGACAAAGTGTATGCCTTGTGTTCAATATAGACATAGGGGCAAAAGGGTAATTGTACAAACATATATTATCACGAAAAAGGTTTTGTCAGATCACATGACATTTTCGTGACTTGGGTAGCAGTGATGTGTTGCTAGATACCGCTTACTGTTTATTATGTTAAATATATAATTTAATATAATTACCAATGTTACGAAATCCTACAGGGTCACACACATAAGGACAGTTTGATGAGAGATAGAGAAATCAAAAGGAACACCGTAAGGTACGGTGCACTTAAGTAAAAAATAGAAATTCGGATAATATAATAATAATTATTGTTATTTTATAATGGTTATAAAATAATAATAAAATAAATATATTTATTATAATAATAGTTATTATAATAATATATAATATTATTATGGATCATGTGAATTGGGTTTTAGCCCGCAGCCCACAAGAGAGTCTATAAAAGGAACCCTTGTGATGAAGCTTTCACTTGATGCAATTTCGTTTTTGATTCTCTTTTCTCACTCAAATAATTCCGTTCGTAAGCAGCTAGCACTGTGATCGGAAGTTGTTCGTGTGGACTGAGTAGAGGCGTTGCACTTCATCAACGCTTGTGATCGCTGCATCAAAGATCTGAATCGCCACAAAGAGGTAACGATTCTATCACTGACCATGCTCATTTGTGAGGATCACTAAAGGAAAATTTTTGTTTTCCGCTGCGTTTAGATCGCAATTTTCCTTCAATAAGTGGCCTACAATATTTGGCAAATCCATACTTGCAGGCCTCCAAACAAATATATATCCTTTTAAACATAGGTTATTCCTTAGAGTCAGAACACTGCACTAGAACTGTACTATTGGGGTTTGATTTAAGCAGCTCTTCAGCATAACTTCTCAAATGTGAAAATTGATCAATTCCAGCTCCTTGAATCATATCCAATTCCCTCCTTTTGGCTTTATATGCTTGATCATGGGACAATTTCAATCCCCATCTGTCAAATGACTCAGAAATCAAACCCACAGGTTTCATATTAGGGCATTGTCTTAAAATATTTGTAAATTTCTTAGCTAGCCAACATTTTTTTGCTTGCTTATTCTTAGGTGTTCTACAACAACTATGTTCATCTATAAGACTAACAACTTGCCAAAATTGATTAACAACCCTTTTACTAAGTCTCATGTAGAAATTACAACCTTCCATACACTTAACTACTATCCTCTTGGCATCATTTTTCTTAATGAAGATATTTTTCTTCATATCCATTGCATACTCCTTTACAACCTCTCTCACTAAATCTTTGTTATTAAAAACCATACCTAGTTGAAATTTTAATCCTTCGCCACTTCTATAAGCTGGGAATTTCTCATTTTCTTCATCATCTCCACTATCAGGAGGTGTATGTAGCTGATCAGACTCATCATCACCATCTTGACACACTGTCTTAACAGCTTGACACACATCTTCACAACCTTGTAGTATAGTGGTCTAATCCACATTGATTGAATTAGTGTCATCCTCACTTGTAACATAGTCATCCTCACTTTCACTTGATGAATCATTCTCACATTCACTTGCAACATATTCATTGTCACCTTCACTTAATGAATCATTGCCATTTTCCTCCACATTCTCATATTTCTTTCCATTCACATTATCATCTTTTTTTCATATTCCAGCCTCCACATTCTCATGTTCATTTTCCTCCATATACTCATGTTCATTTCCCTCCACATCCTCATCTTCCTTAGAGTCAGCATCTTCATCTCCCTCCATATTCTCATGTTCATTTCCCTCCACATTCTCATCTTCCTTTCCCTCCACATTCTCATCTTCATTTCCCTCTACATCTTCATTTCCCTCTGCATTCTCATCTTCATTTCCCTCCACATTCTCATATTCCTTTCCCTCCACATCTTCATTTCCCTTTCCATCCACATCTTCCTTTCCTAGCTCAGCCTCATCTATAATATTTGGAGTACAAACTAAGTGCTCTACATACACATCCATAACATCATAATTATTAACATCAGCAACAAATTTCAACACATCTTGATCAGAATTTAGGGGTCTAAGGTCACGTGAAAAACTATACTTGGGGTTCCAATACCATAAACACTTAATATTAGTATATCCCTCATTGTGAATCAACTCTCTCAATTACATATACAACACATAATCCATATCTCATTCCCAGTTCATTTCAGAAATTACCCCGTTAGAATACCATTTCATAGGTTCAGACACTAACTTTTCCCTAAGATGAAATTGTATCCTAATGCCTTGCTTTTGACTTGGTCTATAACAGAAACAAGAGTTCATAATAAACATCAATATTGGGGACCACATTCATAATAAACCCTAATTCAGTCTAAACAACATTATTTGGTCGAACATTCAGAATAAACAACATTTTTGGGACCCACATTCAGAATAAAGAAAACGAAGAAGGGACCACATTATGAATAAAGAAACGAAGATGGGACCATAAACCCTAATTCCAGTAAAAAAAAAGTTTCACTTGTCTCATGTAGTATTTCACTTATTCCTTACTTTTCGTTCTTCCTTGCTCTTTACATTCCATGGTGTCTTCGTAATTCGTTCGCAGATTGTTGATGAGGTTATGGATCGTTCACAGATTGTTGATGAGGTTATGGAAGCAGTTGAAGAAATTAGGAAAATTATGAAGAAATTAGGGCTTCTTGATACATAAACACAGTTCAAATTCTTTTACAGGTTTTTCACAACTAATGAAAATACAAATTTTATGTCATGTCATTAAATTGGCAACTATTTAAATGACTTGGCATCTGACTGAGCATGCCCAATTACCATTTTGAGCGCCACATAATCAAAATAGAAGGAAGACTAAAAAAAATCCCAATTACCATTTTGAGCGCCACATAATCAAAATAGAAGGAAGACTAAAAAAAATCCCAAAAAAATGACAACTTGAGGGACTAAAAGACTGAAAAAATTAAAAGGGGACTAAAACGTTAAAAATGTGTAAATAGAAGGACTAAAAGTGCATTTAAGCCATTGTTTATTTTATAAAAAATGTGAAGTTAAGATTTTATATTTAAGAATTTAATTATAGGTTAAATTAGATGTTTTAAAATAATTTTTAGAGACATTTTAATTTGTATAAATATTAATGTGATAACATTACTAAATATTTTTTATTTTCTCAACATATTTAAATATTGTTTTTTCAATGAAGAATTTGTTTCAATAAACGTATGTATTTTATTTTAATAAGTGACGTGTAGATGAATACTTTCATTTATTATTTATTTATATTTCATTCTATTAATTCCTTTAATTTTATTTATATAATAAATTTAGATTAATTGAAAATTAATGTACATCTTCTGGACATAATTATTATAATACCTTTTTAATACACCAATGATAATCTATATATGAACTATTTACATTAACATTCAAATGTATAAAAAAAAGTTAATTATAACAGTGATTCGAAGATGTATTTGAATTACACATAGACATAATATATTAATTATTTAAAAATTTTAAATAATAAAAAATAATAAATAAGAATAGAGGAAGTATTATTGTATTTGATTCAATAAAATTAATAATTAAAACAATTTAAATATCATAAATTAATTATTAAAAATAGTATTTCATCTAGAAACTTAAATTCATATAAAATTTCAAAAAACTAAATTATGTCAAAAGTTATCCATTTTAAGTTATTACTCCCTCTGTCTTATATTATAAGCAAATTTTATTTTTTAGATATATTGAATCATTTATGTATCTGGTCAATATATATACTAGATACATTAATTATTCAATATATCTAAAAAGTAAAATTTGTTTATAATATGAGACCGAAGGAGTATTATAGTACTAAAACATAGGCATAGTGGGGTGGGTTTCACCAAGGAGTATTATAGTACTAAAACATAGGCATAGTGGGGTGGGTTTCACCAACCCTGCCTCCTTTAGCAGACCCACTCCCGTTCTTAAATTTAGTCGGGAGTAAAAATTTACCATCCACCCTCATTCTTAACAGAGAATTGATTTCCCTATCCAGCCCCACCCCACCCTTAAAAACTATTTTTTTAATAACAATAAAATTAATATTTTTATTAAAAATTTGATTATTTTAATAATAAATTTTAAAGAGTAAGATAACTCTAATAAACCTGTTTCTAACCAAGTTCTTTTCTTCTTTTCATTTTAGTAGGTTCTAATAAATATGTCTCTAAAAAGTAAAATAATTATAATAAACATGTTTGCAAAGAGCAACCGCTCATATTAAAATTGTCCATGTATATTAAAAAAGTTTAGTACCTATTTGGCAAAAAGCAAAACTTAATGATATCTTTCTATCTTAAAATAAGTATATTAAAGTAAATTTGTTAGATCGGGGGCAGGGACGGGGCAGAGGGTGTGGGGCGAATATTAGCATCCCCGCGCCCCCGTAAATAAGAACCATGTTTTTCCCACACCTACACTCAATAAAACTGTGTTTTCTCTGTTAATTTCGGGGCAAGGGTGAATGGATCCGAAATTTTTTTGTCATGCCTACTAAAATACGATGGCAATGTATATTGTAACACTCTAATTTTTCCGGCATAATTTATAAATAAAAATCAAAGTAAATTAAAACAATTAAGCAAATAGTATGTTACACCCAACATCAACCAACTCATGCAATAGGATATGTAACACAAATGAAATTAAAAATAATAGGAATTAAAATACAAATATGAATTTCAACATTTTATTAGCAGCGGAAAAACAATAAATAATTGACTTGTTTAACTTTTCAAACATAATCATAACACAATGTAATTATAAAGAAATAACAAATACAAGAGATTCATATAATAATCTTCACCAAACATAAAATAATGAAATAAGCATTCTCCTCCAGTGTTACATATCAAAGCAGACGTCGACTCAACAAAAGCATAAAGGAGAGTAATCTCCTCCACTCGCTTCCACGTCTTTATTGCGCATTATCTGCACGATGCCCATGAAAAGTCAACATTCAAACAGAAGGGGTGAGAAGTCACAATCATACAATGAAACTGCATAATAATATGTAAGCACATGATTGTCACATACATAATCACTCATTCCACAACTCACACTATACACAATCCAAATATCATAATATAACATGTACGCAATTTAATAAGACTCAACTTCATGACTCAATGCATGTGGTACCAATTGTGAACTCTTAGGTTCACTCTCTCCCAATCTCCACCATAAGATCAGAGCACACCAAAAATCGTTATCATCACTATAGGTAACGCTTCACCAATTCCCACCTGGAACCAACTACTCGCTCTCAATCCCCGCCATAGGATTGAGGCTCACCAAAAGTGGACCATCGTCCAAACACCATGATACATGATTCATAAATGACATGCAACAACAACAATATTTACAATGATATTCACCTTAACTAATGTACCACACCAATATTGGCCACCACACCATACATAAAATCTATAATTAACACACCGACTCAATTGGAAGCTGACTTCTCATAGGGTTCGAAAGTGAAGGTTTCAATCATATTTCCAACACTGAAAAAGCTACAACGAGTATTTAGAAATAACATTATAGTAACATAGCAGGTAACAACATACCATTCATACACAATACCACACCATAACATACAAATTGTATATCATCCAACACCATTACGTGCCATTTAAATTTATTTTCAGGTACTAAAACTATTTTAAAATAAAGTATATTGTGTCAGCTTTCTAACGCTTCAAACGGCACATCAATCGGACACCCGAAAATCAAGTTATGAATTATTTGAGTTTGACATAGTAGGTATAACTGGTTACACCAAAACAGGTAACCGGTTACATCATGACCAAAAATAGTGAGCAAGACTTTCCCAGTGTAACCGATTACACCAAAACTGGTAATTAGTTACACTTCCGAAAAATATCCAGATCACGCTTTTTATTGACAGTGTAACCGGTTACAACAAAACCTGTAAATGGTTACACCTTTAAAAAAAATCAGTTATCTGCAAAACTGTGTTACGAAAATTAGTTTTGAAATATCCCAAAAAACCCCAATTTTTCATGGAAAGTCATATAATCAAGTTTCACACTCTAATTTCCAACAACATACAACATCCTAATCTGATCTGACCTGATCAGAAGGGGATCACCGACTGGCCACACGTCGTTGGACTGCTATCTGTTCGCCGATGATGAGGAGGAGAAGGAGGGTGTACCTGCAAAACACTCTGATGC